AACGTACACATGTAAAGGCGTGTGTAAAATAACCACAATAAATATTAAATATTTAGTATATTTATTTCGATTCTATTATAGAAGAATCATTATCAAGTGGCAATAGATCAAATAGTTTGATCCAAAAAGAATCAAAAACTAAATAATCTAAGAAAAAAGTTTTTCAAAAGAACGAATTCTATAAAAACGTACACATGTAAAGGCGTGTGTAAAATAACCACAATAAATATTAAATATTTAGTATATTTATTTCGATTCTATTATAGAAGAATCATTATCAAGTGGCAATAGATCAAATAGTTTGATTATTAAAATGAAAAAACTCAATTTGACGAAATAAAATTTTCAAGAAAAACTGGAAAACTAAATTTTCAAAGTATATGTCAAATAACCACGAGAAATATATTCAAGGAATAGTTTGTTGCCATTCTTTTTTGAAATAATTATCACGATTAGGTTCAAATGAAGTACGACATCGGATAAAAATAGAAATCTTTTGTATATGAATATTTAGAAATTGCTATATTATTACTTCGTGTTCTTTATTATCGAGGTTTAAACTAGGGTGTGGGTGTGGGTGTGTTATAGCTACCATGATATCGATATTTCATCTCAGCAATGAGAATTTTCAAATGGCACTTGTAACGAATAGATTTCCGAAGAAATTTTTCGAAACAAAATTAATTCTATACTGTTACGAAAGTAATGACAGAATTATTTCAACAGTGGTGTGTTATAGCTCATACATTAATAAAGTGAATTCAATATCAATAACAATTCAGTGGTGTAGGTACATCATTGGCATCTTGAAATAGATTCGTATCCATGGCTGTACTATGTTTAACATGTTGTGCATATTATACGACAACAATTTTAAAAAAAAATCTTACTATAATAGTTCTTTTTCTTCTTCTTCTTCTTGCTCTTCTGCTTCGGTTGCATTTCTGGGAACAAAGTGCTAATGTTCAGGATTTTTATCAAGAAACCATTGTATTGTTGATGGACAATGAGCTGAATATTGATAGAATTTCATGTCATTCTTTAACAAGTGTTCTAATCATTAGTATAGAATATGAAAAGTTAGTTTGTTGGAAAAGAACTTATTTGAATGATTTTAATTCATTTCGAATTCGAGATGTTTTTTTTTCGTACCAAAAAAAAACTCTTGAAGAATATGATTTCCATGTTCTTGACGATCTAGAAAGAAAACTATAGTATAAGATAGAATAAATGAATTTTATGTTTTGGTGTGGAAGTGAATTAAGTTACCACGATACATTGAGTATTTCGATTTTGCAAGAAAATCATCTTATTAAGTGGCAAGTACTTATATAAATGATTCAAGAAGTTGAAATATTCTAAGGAATATTTTCATGAATATTGGCTTCATATAAACAGTCTATTACATTCTTCTGTTTAAATTTTGTCATGAATACTGGTGAAACTTGTTTGATATGAAAAAAGAAACACTTCTATGCTGTATTTTTGCAAAAAAAAATGACTAAAAATTAAGCAAAAAATCGAAACAATTTTTAGACTGACCGATGTAGAAAAGCCGTTTCTATCGACTGGTAAAGAATCCTCGATCGGATCAAACCAACCATTTCCGAGTATCGATTGTAACATTGTCACAAGAATTTTCGTATTATCCTAGAAAACATAAATATAAATTCGACAAAGTAAACAGAATAATTACATGGATGACATACTTGTGATGGATTGCATGTAGGATTTAGTTTTATTGTATATTGAAACTAACGGTGTGAAAGTAAACGAAAAAAAAACGAAGAAAATCTACAATTCGTTAAATTGAGTATAGTATTATTGCGAATAAAGAAATGTTTATTTTTGTGCTCAAATACGAACGATATTTTAAAGATACATCTACGAATATATGCGTGTATTATATATAGAAAGAGAATTACAACCAACACAAACACACATAAATGCACACACACAAGTACGATTGTTCGTTGACGAAGGTTCATGTCAAACATATTTTATCTATATGAGAAGGAAAGAAGAAATATGTGATATCAGTTTAAATGAATTTTGAACTGAAATTTTTCCTCTGATCAAATTTTAGTTTATCTTACCAATGTTTCATGACTTGTATATTTATCGGATATCATCGTGTCTGAATCTTGATCGGATGGTGATGATTTTCGTTTATTTTTAATACAATCAACGATCTCCGATATTATCCAAACGATAGACACTGCAGCTAACACACCAAATAGAGTCCATAAATAGATGGGTCTCGGAGTAATCTTCATGATAGTATCTAGGTCAATTAGACAGTTTGTCGGATTTTTTGATGTATTACTCCAAGAATTAATAGGTTGGAAGTCGTCATTTTGAAATGGTCTCTTCTAAATCATGAGAAATTTATTTTGTGTCATAGAAAAATGAATCTTATGTAATGTCTCACTTCGTAATACCGATCAGACCCGCTGATTTCCCAACCAAGTAATACCATCGTAGTGTTTTGTTGACGATTAATCAATAGAAATCTGAAAAGAAAACACCAATATGTTAATGCATTATCATTTTTTTGTTGTTGTTTTTATTCTAATATCATCACTGCCGCTTCTATCATTACAACTACATTACAACAACTAAAAATTGGTTTCAATAAGAGTGAGAACAACAGAAAAAGTCAGTTGAAGATTATGTTATATCTTTGAATTTTAACTCAAGTTTGTATATAATTTATATTGATAGATGTTGTTCAAATAATTTAACTTGAAATATTGATTTTTTCTCATCGATATTTTCTAATAATAAAATTTTTTCAATTCTTTGTTTATTTCTAAATTTGAACAGTGCATATATGATTGAATCATGAAAATAAAGACGTTGACAATGACTTACTCGATGATCATACAATGTTTACTGCTGTTGTTTTATTCAATAGACTAATCATTAATCTTTATAAACATATATATGACTACCATTTTTTTTGTGTGTAGGGATTGTATACATGTTCAATCATAAAATTGAATGATTACCTTGAAAGGATTGATTGACTATATTGTTGACAAGGGTGTGTTCTAGGAAGATAATTATATCACAAGTACTATATCTAAATAGAAATGAATGATAGAGATATATTTGTTACCAAGAAATAGCTGTTTAAAGTCAATAGTAGAGTACTAAGATTTGATTAATATTTTATCTATAGATCTATAAAGACATATGCTAGAAATAGTTAGATTGTCACAACACATTACACAGAAACATAACAAAAAAGAAAAACAAGTCAAAATGAAATATTATGATACATTCTGTAGTGTTTGTGTCAAACTTTTGCTATCTAAATTAAAACAAAACATTGATATGGAAGAGAAACTTTTCAAATGATTGAGTTTTTGTCGTCTTACCAGTGGTTGTTTATCATTGTTTTGTTTTTTTTTGTTTCAAAATAGCAGAATCGTGATCTAATTGGCAAGATTTTTCTTTATCCTTAACATTTCGAAATGAAAAGATTATCCAAATAATAATAGCAGCTAAGATGACAATGTAGAACACTATATAGTTGAAAATAAACTGGAAACATTTCAAAATGGCAACAATATTTTGAATATCCTGTTTTATTGCAGTTATCGTCATATCATTTAATTTATTTGCATTATTCGTATCGTATGAAGAAGTATATCTATTCTAAATCATTAAAAATGCCATGATATAATAGAAATGTATACAGTATTCCATGACTCAACGGTTGATATCTTACGTGCATAGGTACATAATCATCGCGGAAAATACCAATCATCCTATAAAGGATCGTCGATAGAGAATCAATAGAAATCTAAAATGAAAAGAAAACATAAATAAATATGATGAAGAGAAAAATCATTTCGTTTATTTTTCCATTATCACTGAATAGAACTTTAAATAAACAAGAAAACGACATAAAAATGAAAAGAAAATGAATACAAACTAACAAGTGTGATGTGAACGAGCTATCACAATATTATGTTAGTATTTCAATTTTCTATTTCGTGTATTGAAATATTGATTGAGAGCCATGTTTTTTTTTTTTCTTTTTTTTTCTTTTGAATGCTGAACTAATCCAATGTGGATAAATACATATAATTGGCACATAGACAAGCAATTTTCGAAAGAATGGGAAATCATTTTGATTTTTTAACTTCAGCAATCATTTTACCTATGACGAATTGTACTTGTGCTCGATGAATATATTAGAATATATAAAGTTCTTTTGATTTAAACTTTGCTTCTTCTTGGTTTTTGATTGATGAAATTTTGTTTAAATTTGTAGAAGATTTATGTTGATGTTGTCTTTGACAATGCATAAAATGACAAACAATATGTAAAGTGATACATATATTTTTTGAGAAGTATAGTAAAATCTATGTATTGATCTATTAGTGATAAAAAAGTCTAACTATACGAAGAATATTACAACACAATACAAACAACAAAAAGCTGGATAAAATAATATATATATATATATACATGAATTAAAATGAATTCAGGTATGAGAAAACCAATAGATTTAAAAATTAAAATTTTATACTTCAAAAATGTGTGATTGATCGAGCTAAGAGAGTATTTGATGAATAACAATGTTTTGTATTCAATTTAATTTTCAATCCATGTTTTTTAAATTGTGGATCTTGTTCAAGAATTTTAAACCAAAGTTGATAGAATTTTTGATTGAATTGACATCGTGAACCCCAATCAAAAAGATAAGATAATTGAATGAATTGACGATTCTTTTGTAATAATTGTTCTTCTTGTTCTAGATCACATTTTTGTTGATCAAGACGACAAAATAATTCATCACGAAATAAATGATATGTCGATCGATTGAGATTCAATTGTTCATATTGTTTAGGATTAAAATGTACAAAGAATTGTTTCAAATGATATTCAATAAAATCGAATGAATATCCATTAGCCAAAAATGTTAATTCAATATAGAGACGTTCTTCTTCAAAATCATCGAATCTATTACAATATTGACAAGCTTGTATAAGAGCAGATCGTAACCATTGTCGATGAAATAATCGTGGATGATCAGCAATATAAGGTAATAAAAATCGTTGACTTATTGAATCATGATAAACACGAGTATATAAAAGACTATTTTGATTTTCAATAGATGCTTGAAGAAAATGAACATTATTGTCAATAAATGTTGTCATTTGAAGATTTGAATCGAGTGATTCTTCTAATTCATCGAATATTTTCTGCAATTGTTCAATCGATCTATTCCAAATCATAAAACCTTCATTATTATATCGACCATAGAATGTATCATCGAGACGAATATATTTAACTAAAGGTGCTTGCCAATTATGCAAATAGATATTCACTAATAATTCTGTTAATGATAAATTTAATGGACATCCTTTGATAAATCGATAGATTTTTCCATTAGAAGAGAAAATATTATTTTGTAAAACTATAGTAGTTAATTCTACAATAGCATCATTGGATAATCGTTGATGTTGACCAACAATAAGTGGATTCACTAAGAATGTATTTAATGCATTTAGAAGAGCTGTATGAGATATCATGTTATATAAATCATGAATTTTAAATGTTGCAAGA